CATCTTCAGAACACAAATTAAGATATTTTTGATCAAATCCGATGGCTCAGAGAGGCCTCCATTGACAGCAACACCACCCAAACTCTCAAGTTAGAGAGTTTGGGTTTGGACATTTCTTTTTATGTATATGAAAATTTCCCAAAATAATAAAAAGCTGTACAAGTAAAGTAAAATTATTATTATTACTTTCACTTAGGGCTGTGAATCTTTGGGTAGACAGCGAATCGATTCACGATTCATAGGTTTTCGATTCGGTTCAAGAACGATTTTTGCAACTTCAGAACGATTCGATTCGATTCACAATTGAATTAGATTCGATTCGATTAACGATTTGATTCTGCATTATTTAAGTGCATTCACAGGATTATTTAAATGCTTCCCCTAAATTCTTTAAATGCTTAGTCAGGGGGCAAATTACACAGCAGCCTTTATGGTTAGAGAACCATAGGTTACAGAAAAAAACCACTTTTGTCCATTGTTAGATGCTAGTTTAATTATGCTATGGCATGACATGGCATATGTAGAAATTTATGTAAGCCAAGATTTTTTAAAAAGAGCTTTAAAAAGTATTATGTATAGGCTAACATTTTGTCACACCAGGGGCATAGCCATCATTTCAGAAGTGACAGAAATGTCAAATACAATAATTTTATGTATGTATGTTTTATTATGATTTTTATTTTATTTTTTACAAGGAATTATTTTCTTATCTCTTACTTTGAATTTGCTATAAGATATCAAATACACTGCTGGACAATAATCAATCATTTGTAATCTATCATTTTTTCCTAATGGCAATTTTATGATCGTTTTATATACTACAAACAATTATTTAAATTTTCTGCACCGAATAAGGTAGAAAATATACTTTATAGTTTCTGAGATCAAATCTCTTTAGTGCGAAAAGTTCTTTATCTCATTTTCATAAAATAAAATGCTATAGTATTTAACTTTTCCTCTCCATCGGCGAATGATGATTCAGAAAGGAAACGCGCCCGATGTCTGTTTGCTATAGCAACGAATGCTACTTTCACGCATCTGATAAACCTCGCGCTCTTATTTCAAGGTTGTTGTTAATGCTGTG